AGTGCTCTTGTTATCACCTAATGCCGCTCATCGCATCATCACTGGCAACGTCATCTTGTAAAGTCGACACGCGCTATCATCAAAAAATTCCTTCACTAAAAAAATAACAATAAAAAGGGAATTACATGTCTTCTACCACAAGATCGATAATGCACACATGCTCCCCAAAAGTAATGAAACCGTCGTTTTCAAAACCACAACAGCTGACTGCACCGAAAAACAGACAAACAAAAGATAAATAAATAAATATATAAAATAGAACAACATTAACAACAACAACAACAACAACAATAATAATAATAATAATAATAATAATAATAATAATAATAATCATAATAATAATAATAATAATAATAATAATAAAAAACGATAAAACTTCCATCTATTTATGAATGTTAAATTCTATCAATCAATCACCCAACGAGGAAAAAGAATAAAAGAAAAAAATAGACAACCAACGACAAAAAAACAATAACAAAACAGGCAAATAAACAAAACTTCCGCATCTACATAATCAAACACCCCCCCTCCCCTCCCCCCTCCCCCACAAGTCTCCGAAGGGGAGGAAAAGAAAGTCGACAAAACGCGGGAAAATGTTAATAACAGACGAACTGGCGGCACTAATTGGCCCGTCTTCCCTCCCTCCATCCTTCGTTTCCACTTCCTCGCTTTCCTTGCTCGATTTCATTCCGTCCTGATTCTGTCCCTTGTTTCCTTTCATCCCCGATTCCCTGTCTCTCCCCCCCCCCCCTTTCTCTCGTTCTCCTTATTTTTTCTCATAAAATATCCCGTGTTCTTTCATTTTCGTCAATTTCGATTTTTTTTTTCATCCTCAGAGGTTGGTTCCAATTTATTTATTTATTTATCTATTATTTCCTTCACGTGTTTTCCTCTTCAGATACGACTCTCTCATATCTCTCTTCTTATCTCCCTCTCCCCACCTCCCCCTATCTCTGTCTCGTTTCGTTTCGTTTCCTTTCCCTGTCTCTGTCTCTCTCTCTCTCTCTCTCTCTCTCTCTCTCTCTCTCTCTCTCTCTCTCTCTCTCTCTCTCTCTCTCTCTCTCTCTCTCTCTCTCTCTCTCTCTCTCCCCCTTTCTTTCACTCCTTATTTTTCTCTCTCCCTCTCCCGCTCTCCCTGTCTTACAATATCTATAACTCTCTTTCGCCCTTTCTCTCCTCTCTCCCTCTTTCTAGATCGCTCCCCCCTTTTCACTGTCTTCCCTTCTTTCACCATGCTTCCCTCCCTCTTTGTCACCCTTTCACCCTAAGTTCCCCCATCTCTTCTCCCCCCCCCCCACTCTCCTCCATATCCCTCTCCCAGCCCCTCCCCATCTGCCCATCCCCCTCCCCTTTACCCACACCCTTATCCAAACCCCTCCCCCACCCTCCCACCCCTCCCAATCTGCCCCTTCCCCTCCCTCCCACCCTCCCATCCCTCCCAATCTGCCCCTCCCCCTCCCCCCCACCCTCCCACACCCTTATCCCAACCCCTCCCCCACCCTCCCACCCCTCCCCCACCCTCCCACCCCTCCCCATTTCCCCCTTCTCCCTCCCCCGACCCCCCAACCTCACTAGCCTCTGATGATGACACCCACTGCACGCGAATGACTATGTGTGAATTAAAAAAAAAAAGTGTCTATGCTGAAATAAAATCATAAAATACAGTTATTTTCACTCCGTCTTTGAAGATGAGGCGGGGGAAATGGTGGGGGAAAGAGAGATCCGGATAGAAGGGAGACCGGGGGAAAGGAGGAGGAAGGGGAAGAGAAGGAGAGGGGAAGAAGAGGAAGAGAAGGAGAGGGGAGGAAGGTAGGAAAGGAGAAAGAGAAGGAGGGAGGGAAGGAGGAAGGGAGAGGAAATGAGAGAGAGAGAGAGAGAGAGAGAGAGAGAGAGAGAGAGAGAGAGAGAGAGAGAGAGAGAGAGAGAGAGAGAGAGAGAGAGAGAGAGAGAGTAGGATGACAGTAGAGAGGGAAGGAGGAAGAGAAGGAAAGAAAGAGATAGAGGAAGAGGGCGAGAGGGAGAAAGGAACAAAGAGAAATAGAGACACGGAAAAAAGAAAGGGAGAAAGGGAGAGGGGGAGGGGAGAAAGGAAAGAAGTGGGAGGGGAGAGAGAGAATGGTATACAGAGAGAAGAAACAGAAAGGAAAGGAAGAGGAAGAAGAGAATAAAAGAAACAGAGAGATATACAGATAAGCAGACGAGATGAGAGAATGTTGAATAAAACACACCCAACCTTCGTAAGACAGACACAGCTCACGTAACATCACGCCCACCCACTCCCCCCCCCTCTCCCTCCCTCCCTCCCCTAGTTTTCCAGAACAAAGAAAAAAAAAACCTACACGATTTACATTCCGTCTCGGTTGACACATTTACTCTCACTCAACCTCTCTCTTTCTCTCATGCATAGGCCTATTTCCCTCAGAAAGACAATTCATTGTTGATAATAAGATGCTGTCGCCCTAAGTATGTTTTGCGAGGAGACAAGTTTTGTACAAAATAA